TAACTTTATTTTATCTTCATAGTGAAAACAGACATGAAAGTTTATAAAAAAAAACCCAGCACAGGGGGGTCGCGGCACAGTGGTGACGTGGCATAGTTGGATTAAGTATAATGATATCTGACAGTGATTAAAATCACTATCAAAAAAAAATGCTTCAATGCAAATCTTTAGATAGTGTTTAATTTTAAAAAATGGGTGTATTATTCCAAAAGTTACATGATCTACTAGTTCCTTAATAATATCCTGATTAAAATATAGTATGTCAAATGAAAAAGAAATTATTAAAAAATATTATTTCTCATAAAAAATTGTATTGATCCATATATTTTTCAAAAAGTTATAGCATAATAAAGTTAAAAATGTAAATTATAAAATCGAGAATTTTCACACGAAAATAGCATTCGGTAGCCGTTTTCACCATGAAGACAAGTCCAGAGATCAAAATTTTTTTTAACGCGCTTATATTAGTTTCACCTGTATGTATGTATGTATGTAACTCTCCAAACGCCACGCGTTATCGCATATTCCGTCGTCTAGACTAGACTAAAGCAATAGATCAATATTCTCTTTAGTAATTTTACTAATTCATTCGCACATTATACATATACACATTACTGGGTCTCGTGGGTCGGATTACCGCATCGTTGCCTCAGTGTCCTATTATAGGTGCTTATCAATTAATTAGTTTTTTATTCCTCAATAAAGAGGCACTTTAATAATTTCTTTTTATATCTACTTGTCTTTATTATTCTAAACCCTTGGACTCTACAACCCCGATAGAACCTCGTTGCTCCTGAATGCATCAAATACCTAAATATCCACCTTGGTCAAAAATACCCCAAACACCCTTTTGTTATTTTTAACACGCTTATATTAGTTTCACTTGTATGTATGTANACGTATATGTTAATATTCATTTATATATCCCTACAGCCGACGCCGCTGCCGCCATATATGCCTCGCGCCCCGCCCGCCAACAAAACACAGCTATACCTCGTGCATGATACGTTTACGTACTTAAGTCGCTTTACTTGTATATATATATATTCTAATTACTATTAAAATTTATTTATTAACACGCTTAATTATAATTAAGAGATATAAAGTATTTATTCCGATTACGAGGGATGATTTCCGTATCGTCATTTTTCGTCACTACCTCCACGTTCCGGTAGTGAGTAATTTACGCGCCTGCTGCTTTCCTTGGATGTGGTAGCCGTTTCTGAGACTACCTCCCCGGAATCGAACCCTGATTTCCCGTTACCCGTAACAACCATGATATTGATAGTAACTACTATCATAACATGAAACTAAAAAGTAAAAAATAAATATAGTTTAAAAAACTAAAAAAACACGCTTTTAAAGCACATCGAACTAAAAAGTTAAAAATAATTTTTAAAATAAGTTTAAAATAATTATGAACAAAAAATACTAGTATTATTGTGATAAAAGCGTCGGGCGCTCAATATACGAAAAATATGGCACAAAGCACCCACGCTTTTATCACAATAATACTAGTATTTTTTGTTCATAATTATTTTAAACTTATTTTAAAAATTATTTTTAACTTTTTAGTTCGACGTGCTTTAAAAGCGTGTTTTTTTAGTTTTTTAAACTATATTTATTTCTTAATAAAGTACATTACATAAGCTTTAATTTAAGATATATATAAAAGTGTCAGACCTTCCGGAACATTTTCAAAAGTTAAATTGAAAAAGTTATTTTTTTGTGAAAAAGTTGTCATTTTAAATCCCCCCAGTGGGCAGATATAGAGTCAAATTTACAAAAAAAATATACCAAATGATAAGTAAAGACATCAAGCATCTATATAAAAAAAATTACTTATCCATACATTTTCCAAAAAGTTATAGCATTATTAAGTTAAAAATATAAAAAAAATTATTTTACAAAAATCGTAATTTTTTATTAACTTTGATGTCCGTTTTCATCGTTAAGATAAGTCCAGAGGTCAAATTTTCAAAGTATTTTACATAAGCTTTATTTTAAGATATATATAAAAGTGTCAGACCTTCTGGAACACTTTCATAAGTTAAGTTGAAAAAGTTCTACTTTCTATATGCATTTTTATGTTTTGAATCCCCCCTGTATTAAGGAAAATGGTCCGATTTAAAAAAAAAATATGTCCAATAAAAGATGTATATAAATACTACTTCTCATGAAAAAATTGTATTGATCCATATATTTTTTAAAAAGTTGTAGCACTTTAAATTAAAAAATTTTTACATTTATTTTTTACATTTTTAACTTTATTATGCTATAACTTTTTGAAAGATGTATGGATCAATATAATTCTTTTTTTTGTAGATGCATGATGTCTTTACCAATTATTTGGTATATTTTTTTTATAAATCTGACTTTTTACCTGCCTACAGGTGGGGATTCAAAATGACAACTTTTTCAAAAAAATTTACTTTTTCAACTTAAATTGTGAAAGTGTTCCGGATAGTCTGACACTTTTATATATATCTTAAATTAAAGCTAATGTAATGTACTTTATTATGCAAAAAAGAAAATTTCGGACTTTATTTTGTCTTCATGGTGAAAATGGGTACCGAATGCTATTATTGTGTGAAAATGTTTTTTTTTTTATAGTGATTTTAATCACTGACAGATATCATTATACTTGATCTAACTATGCCACATCACCACTGTGCCATGACCCCCTTGTACTGGGTTTTTTTTTTGGTTACTTTTAGCTATAAATTATTCTTGGATTATTTGCAATGTAACACTTTTTAAGTAATTTTATATTTACTGTAATCTTATGTTTAATCATATGTATTTTAATTTATTTCTCTTTAACATAAAACTGAATAAACTTGAATTTGTAATATATTAATAGCATATTTAGATTATATCATATTAGAAAAATTAACTGATTAATAAAAATGTTGAACCAATAATCAATCAAGATATTTATGAAAAGGAACTCGGTCTTCTGGTAATTCAATAAATGTTGAAGACTGAGTATCTTAATTTTTGGCATTACGTTTTAACTCTAAAAAATTATGGTAAGAAGAGTAAATAATATATTTAATTTTTATATTAATGATTACTTTTTGTCAATTTCACATTGTCAAATTCCTGTTGATCGTCTTCGCTAGATTTATTTTCAATAGAATTATCTACTGACTGCGTAGAAACAACTAAATAAAGAGTAATATTTCTATAAAATCATACTTATTATAAATAAATTGAATTATAATAAATTAGTATAGCTTAAATATTTATAAGGGAAACCAAATCACCTGTCTTTTGATACACTCCATGATTATGAAGGACTATAACACATAAAAGTATTTATATGCGTATTATAAAATAAAATAAATTAATATTAAGTAAAATGAATTGCATAACTAATAATTTTGTGTTATATTGGTTAAATAATTTAAGTTTACTGAATGATTTTCCTTTGTAATATCTACCTTTACAAATCTTTCCTCCAAAGATCAGGTCAATATGTATTGGTATTGTCGTTTTGCCAGTTTCAGTGTCAAATTGGAATCCCAAATCGTAAAATTTTTCTTTAATCGTAACCTGAATTTCATCATTTATTTTATTACTGAAGTATTTATAAAATAGTCGTTCATTATTTATTATTATAGTGTTTTTTTCGATTTCGATATTATATTGCTGCTGTAACATAAGATCATCAGACACACAAGTAATATTACAATATTTTGTAATGTCAAAATCTAGATATTTTTTAATTTCTAATATTAATTTATTTAATTCATTTAGTGTTTTACTAGTGTCTGTTAAATTATCCTGTATAGGAAGGGGAATTTTACTATTTTCTAAATATATTATTATAGGGATTAAAATAAACGTGTCTTTTGAATGATTCCGTGGCACATTTCGAAAGCTGTCCAATACATCCATGGCACCTCTTAATTTTGGCGTTTCTTTTCTTATTATATGCATTGTGTTAAGAAGTTCTAAAATGCAGTCCTCTCTATTATTTTTATCTTGTACATCTTCACAGTGAGTATGAAAATGTTGAAGTATCAAAATAATTTTTTTTAAAAATTTGGCATAATTACAGCCCAGATAAACAGTTGCCAATCGAATTCGGGAATTACAATTATTTCTATCAATTTGACTGCGAATAACATTATTTAACTTATGTTCAGTTTTCATGTATTTTATACTATTCACGTCATTTAAATTTTGCCATCCAGAATGCATGAATAGATTTTTTAAGATTCGTATAACTTTTAATGAATTAGGCGATGTTTCGGTGTTCGTAATTGTACAAAATATTATTAAACTGACTACAATGTAATTATAATAGGTCATTTTGAATTTTCAATAAACAGTTATGATTACTCAATGTCAAATTGAAAAATTTAAGAGTATAATTTAAATGATTGAAGAAGCGACAAATCACAGATTTTCTTACAATACTACTGAAAAGTTTAGTTTTAAAGAATAATTTCACCTAAAAATAAAAATAAACTTTGATTTAATACTTAAGAATAAATATAAATCAAATTTAGATTTTTGTGATAAAATTTTGGTTTCAATTAAATTTGATGTATTATTATTAATTATTTTACTATTAGCTTAGTGACATTTATACAGTTAATACTGTTACTCACCTGTTTCGTATGAAGAAGAGCGCCAAAAACAAGTTAATAGTTGAATACTTAACTCAGAATAATAATTGCAGCTGTTTAAACTTTATAACAATCGAAAAAATATTTTTATAAATAAAAATAGTATAATAAAAAAACCAGAAACCATTTATCTTTTCATGATTACTGTGTATACATACGATGATAGTGTGTAATACATTACAAACTTGGCATAAATACCATGATAAGAAATTAGATAAGGCAATTATTACTTATCACTCTCATTCAAAAGTATATTGAAAAGATAGCGTTTTCTTCTTTCCTTTTCTCAATACGTATTTCAATGTTTAATACCGTAAAATATTACATGTGTTCAAAAGTTATGTGTGTAGCCGGTAAANATGTTCAAAAGTTAAAGTGTGTACCGGTCAAGTTCCCCACATAGCTCGAATCGCATTACCCCTCTCCATGTAATGACGACACTCGTGTCCGGCACTACCGGCAGTTTGCCGTCACTAACTACGTCGGTGTACGCGATTGAAGTCGTACCGCATCTCTTGAGTCTGATGACTCGTGGCCAGTGAGCTGGCGTGTTTTTAATTTGTTTCATTGTTTTTTGGTTGGTATTGGCCTGTTTAGGTGACAACCAACACTTTATATTACCAGTTACGTGCTATTACTCGAGTGCTCAACGGAAATAGAGCAGCGGAGGTTGCACATTCCTAACGCAAAAGGAACAATTACTTTGGGAAGCGTTTTGGCAGTCGATTCAACGATAATTGCGCTATGGATAGCTGATGGCTGGGTGATGTTTCGTTTTTGTTTGTTTTTTTCTACTATTATTATTCTAATGTTAATATATTGATATATTGAATATTTATTAGTTTATATATATATATGTATAATAAAGTTACTGTTTGGAATTGATATTATACGATTGTCAAGTAAAACCCCCCGATCCGTCATTTATGTTAAGATAATTAACTTAACGTTAAAAGTATAAAGTAGTGAAATAATTTACTCTGGGAATTGTAAGTATCATTTCAATATATTTTTACAACATGAAAATTCAAATTTTCACAAACTTCAAAACGCTACAGAATATTTACTACTGAATATTAATAAGATATTTTTTTACTAAAATTTTTCTTAAATTCTACTCTACAAAATAGCTATCTTAGATTTTTTTTTTACATTTTATTTAAAATTTAAAAATAATTAATATTTTTAATAAAATGTAAAAAAATTAATTATTGAGATATAGCTATAGACCTAACGTCTAACTAATATTTAAAAAAAAAATCAGCTAAAAATATTAACTGGATCAAAAGTTATTTAAGTTGTCAGTGAGTGGTGGGCCACCTGTATATGGGGAAATTGTCCAATTTTAATAAAAAGTATGTCAAATGAAAGATGTAATTATAATGTATTTAGAAAAAAAAAATTTGTACTAATACATACATTTTTCAATTGGTTATGATTTTTATAGCGTATTTGTATGTAAAAAACCTGAAAAGGAACGAAAATTTGACTGAATTACTAGATTAAGAAACTTATTAAAAAAAAATTTCAAAAGATATTTTATTGTAGATGATTTTTTATATTGTTAGAAATTTTTTGAAGTAAATAAAATTATTGTTATATTTAAGTACTAATTATTTGTACTTATTATACACAATTGTTCCTGTTTATATGTTAACCAATGTGGTGTATTATTTCTTTAAAGTTTCTAAAAAATGTTAAGAATGTAGAGAAGTATTTCGTAATTAAAATGTAATCATTAAAGATCTAATAATTTGTTTAAATTAATCATAAAATTGTGATTAAATCACTTTTTATAGCTTTGATGAGAAGCCAAGAAGGTATTAATTTTATCATGATAGATTATTTTATTTCTTTTTATGGTCTGTTACTACATTTTTTTAGCTCTCACGGGATATTGTTGAAGACAATACCCTAAATAATTAAATATATTTTTCTCATTTCACCTAAATGAGTAAAATCCGCTAAAAAATTATGATTTTAACTTTTTTACTGGACCAGATATTATTAAAGTAATATATTTTCATTGTTAGTAAAAATATTCCCAATACCTTGTGTAAAATTTAAATGTTTCAATTGTGCATACACATCTGTAGATTTTTTTTGTGTTGAAAATATTAATTTCATATTTAATTTTTTTAATTTTATATTTTTATAACTTTTTTAAAAATAAATGGATTAATACGATATTTTTTTATAAGTACTTAATATATTTCTTTCATCTGATATACACTTTTTTAAAAAAATCAAACCATTTCCCCTTATACAGGGGGATTAAAAAAACTAAAATATTTATTTATTTCTATATTATACTTATAAATCTAAAAACTATTAGGTTAGTTTCAATGGTATTGTCGGATGTATTATTCTCAAAAATGTTTTCTTCGGTTTCAACAGTTGTATTTGTGTGGATATCTCTGTAGACTTTTGGTTTGATAGAATATTTGTCAAAATAGGTGTAGCATTGGTCCAAAAATATAAGAAATATGAAAACTAAAATACCACTAAGTAGTTGTTTACTCCCAAAAAAAATAAATTCATTAGCTTAGGTTACAAATTTTTCTACGCTACTTGTATTTATTAATTATAAATAAACAATTGATTTAGTCTCGACATTTTTTTTTTTTTGTTAAAATAACTGTAAAAAAATTGTCCATGTTTTATAAATGTTTAATTGAATTTATATGATACATTTTTAATTTAAAAATAAATAATTAGAATTATCTAATTTGAAATAATAAATTACTTAACTTTACCAAGATTTTAAATTATTAATAAAAAATAGTTTTCCTGTATCATATGTGTTTATTATATAAAACAAAATTGGACATTCATAAAAAGGATAAAAATAAAAAGATACTTTTAAAACAATAAGAAATTAATATCAAAAAATACAGCAAATTTTTATTGATTTAATGTAATTGCTTAATTACTTCATTTTGGCTATAAGTTTATTTAATACTTCGTCAAATTATAATTTTGGCGACGCCATTGATATTTTTTTACTTGTTTTGTTAAACTCAAATTACAGCTAAAAAATAAAATAAAAATTAGATCTTTAACTAAATTATAACATAAAGTATTTCTTTTCTTTAATGCCGTAAATTTGAAATTACAAAAAGAATAACTTACAAAATATTTTGAATGTCTCCTACATTGAAAAGATTTTTAAAAATTGGGTTTAATAACAAAAATTTGATTTGGTCTTATTACTAATCGATATACAAATATTAATCAAATAGTTTAAACTAAAATTTAAAAATTGAAAATATTATTTAAAACTAATAATACTAAAAATATTTAACTTAAAAAGCCATAAAAATTACTAAAAAAATGCGAATATGTATTTCGGAAAAAATATTATCATTACTAATGCTTAACACATACTGAACCCAACGCCGATTGAAAAAACATGCTTATATACCTCTATTAGTATTTTTGTGGCTTTCCGAGTTAAATATTTTTTAGTTCTAAATTAATATTTTTTATATTTCTAATTTAAAATATTATTAGCAACAAGTGATCAATTTTTATTATATGAAAATAATAATTAATTTTTTTTCAATTTAAAACATACTTAAAGTGTTTCACTTCAGTATTTTTATGAAATCGTACAGACATCTCTTGATATGTATCTTTTAATCTAATATTGGCTATATTTTTTGCTGAATTATTATCATAATTTTCAATTTTTTTAAGAATTCCTTGCTAAAAAATTAATTAGAATGAAATTATCAAACAACTATTTATAATGTAACAACAGCAATTAGTTGTTGGAGGAAAAATGCATATTGTTTCAGGAAACATAATGCATATTAATTGTTTAAATACTTAGTGAATATTACTCACTTTAGTGGCTGAATTAGATACAGTAGAAAAATTATACGATGTCTTAGTTATGGTATCTGAATTTTTGTTAGATTCATTTTCAAAATACCTTTTTGACAGTAATATAGTAGTGTTGTTTTCAGGAGGTAATTCTTTAATATTTCTCGAAAATATTTTAGACGGTTGAGTTTGAAGATTGTTTGGAGACTGTGACACGTTCGTGTTAAAATAATTATTAACTAATACAGAAGTGTCTGTAGATGTGTTGGTGGGTTGTTTTTCAATTTGTGTAATAATTTCTGAGTTTAATTTTTTAACAGATTCAATTTCGTTATTCAATAATGAAATGTTAGTGTAATGTGTTTTCATATTATTATCTGAAAATATTTTAGAAGGTAGAGTTGAAAGATTATTTTTTGACGATGTTTTGTCCATGTTCAATGAATTATCATTTATTGTAATTTTCTTTATAGAAGTTTTAGAGGGCTCTTTTTCGCTTTCGATAATCGGAGTTAGCTTAATTTTATCTTCGCTAGGTGATTGTTCTAAAATTGAATTATTTGTCATAGTAGGTAACTCCAAATTAATAGGATGTGTAGTCAAATCCGTGCGAGTTTTCGTTATAGGTTCTACTGTTTTAGTTAAAGTATTTTTCTTCTTAGAAAGTTTCATTTCCAAAAATGTCTGCAGCGACACAACTGCCAGGACAATAAACATAATATCTTTGATTACTTGAATCGGAATTATAAAATATATTACCAACGTTGTTATCACGAATAACAAATCTAAATCCATTTTTATTAATAATGTATGCACTCAAAAATTGAAATTTTTAAGTTATACTTAGAGAAAAATATAAGATTTAAAGATTTTTAAATATATATGCTGACTAATTTATTACGGAAAAAAACTTAAGCATAAAATCACCAGACGGTGTCAATTTAAACGACAATATTGCTCTTATTTAAGCAAAAAAAGTCTTGTTTACTTTTTATTTAAGCCAATTAATATAACAAAAAATGTTTTAAAATTGGCCAATAATTATTAAATTTCTTTAATAAGATGTCTTATTTTGAATATAAAATGTAATTAATATATTGTTACAAACCGTATTAATATATTCATTAAATAAAGCTATTGTCAATTACTTAAAATTAATTATGTTTTAAAACATAATTAATATTTATTATGTTTAATTAATTATTAAGGAAATTTAATTAAATTTTCAATCGGCGTTGGGTTCAGTATGTGTTAATTATGTCTTCAGGTATTAAACGACCAAATGACATAACAACCCCAATATCATATTGTTCTTCTAATTGTACTTTACTCACAGGCCACTCTAATGTAACTAATTTTTCTTCTTTAGCTATATTTCTAATATTAATTCCTCGCCCTTTTGAAGTTGTAACTACATCTAACTTAGAAATGATAGTTTGTGTTTTCCTATATAGAACACAATATTATTACTGAAACATAATAAAATTTTATGATAAAAATATTAAAGGATGATTACATGTTAGCAGACAATAATTGAAGGCTTTTGGCAGAAAAATCATCATTCCCAAAAAATAATATACGCCAGGGAGGTCCTTTAGAATTATATTGACTTCTAATAACAGAAGTTGAATGAAGATAACATGAATTTTTTAACAAGCAAAAAATTGTTTTATAAATTTTATTTCTTCTAAATTTAAAAAAAAATGTGGCACTAAACATTATAGTAAAATAATAAATTAAACATATCTACACAATTTCCAATAATTAAAAATTGGCTATTCTAGAAATTATTTTAAGTTTTCATTTTTTTAATTTTACATTGCACATAAAGTTAAATATAGAAGTTTAAAAATTATTATATACGTGAGCTCAACTTTGGGATCGGTTAAGAATGAAAGAAAGAAGATAATATAATTCTGATAACATAATTGATAATATAACTAATATGATTTAAACTGATAGAAAGTATTACGATTAGGATCGTCGTTCATATTAAGGTGTGATTCCTATACACGCGTCTATAGACGCGCGACCGACGCGGCACGATTTAATTTTAGCCGCGCAGGTACTACTTTATTTGTTTTTAAATATAACCGATTCCTATAACCGCGTCTGGCGCCGCGCGACGACGACCGCTTCGAAAGCAGTCAAATCGCACGAGCCGCGCGGCCAATAGCTAAAAATATAGACAATAGCAAGAAAAACAGCCACAAAAATTACCTGCTCATGGATTTTAGTTGTAATTAATATATTATTATTATAATTTTATTAGTTTATTATTCATATTTTAATTTTCAAAGTTTGACATTTTGTAAACGCCGTGTGATGTCTTCTGCTAAAGTGTTATACACAGTAGAAGACATACAATTGGCTGAATGTGTAAGGGCACATCCATGTTTGTATGACCTAAAAAATTTCAATTACAAAGATCAACAAATGAGGGACAATATATGGAAGCTTATATCAAATAGCCTAAATATGAAAAGTGGTAATACTACATTAACTAAATGTATAGGTGTATGTATACATAGTATAGTATTATAGTTATTGTAATATAGTAAGGCAACTTATATATTTTAGCTAGATATTTTTTTGTGTATAAACTCAACATTAGTATCTGTATTTTATTAAATTACATTTTTTATACAGTTTAATAAATAATTTACAACATTCAAGAAAAATAAAGTAAGCACCAGTATTTAATTATTTATAGTTATAATTACTTACATACAACTACTATATAACTAAATATTAGTTGTTTATCTTAAAATTAAATTATGAAAAAAACACAATTTATTTTAAATAGATATTATTTATATACCAACTGCAATTGCGTGGCTAAGAATAACTGAAATAATATGCTATTGTGGAACTTGAATATCTGATCTAATCGAATCTAATCTAATCTATTCGATTGATAATTTTGCCAAGGAACAGCTCCTTGTGGACTGTTAAAAAAATTTTTTAATTCGTCTTTTACCGAAAAACCTTCAATGTTAGCATATCCCCCTGTTCTAGCCAGTGAAATCATATTTTCAGTTGGTTGAGGTTTATTATCATCGAAATTATAGTAATAGTAGTTGGTTTTCTCCAAGTAACGACCATGAAGTAAATTATGAAGGCAACATGCAGTCAACACTAAGTTATCAACCGTTTCCGTCTTTAGAGGTTTGGTGTATAGAACACTGAAAATTTGGCTTAGAAGCCCGAAACTATTCTCCGTAGTTCTTCTTGCTCGAGAAAGTCTGTAATTAAATGTGGTCTTTTGATTATCTTTTTTTGTCTCAATTCTAGAATAAGGACGCATCATATTTCGGTCTAGGCGAAATGCTTCATCGTCAATATGTATCAATGGTAAAGTTATATTTGAATTCGGCAGTTTTTTAGGGGAAGGAAAATATTCACCAGTTGAAATCATTTGAGAGATACTAGATTTATTGAAATTTCACTGTCTCCTTCCTTGCCATAGGACACATTGTCTACAAATATAAACTTATAATTAGCGTCCTTATAATCGCAAGAAGAACAATGGAAAAAAAATCCTTGTAGTTAAAAAATAAGCTTCCATTTTTCTTTGGAGAAAATATACGAATGTGTTTCCCGTATATTGCACCAACACAATTTGGAAAATTCCATTTGTTCCAAAAGTCATGAGCAATACGGACTAAATCTTCTTTTAATGGAGGCTTTAATAAGATTGGTGTAAGTCGAGTACTTAAACTCTTTAAGACTAATTGTATTATACGTGTAATATAACTTTGAGAAATCCTGAATGAAAAAGACAATGACCTGAGCGATTCTCCCGTTGCCATATATCTAAAAATATATATATATATTGTTAATAAATTTTTTTTTTTTTTAATTTACTGTAGTAAAAATGTGATATTTTCGCCATAGTAGTATTAAAATAATTAAAACTGTTTGCAAATAACTGCTGTACGTTTATAATATAGATTAATATTATAATATTAATTATTTCGTACACATAATTAAATTAAAGTGAACGAAATATTTAATTTTTGTTTTTATATAAGTTTTCATATAAAATCAATAAATATGTACGTTATTCAACTAAATATAGTTTTATTAACTACAATATTTAAATGAAAAGGTATTATTATTTCAGTTGATGACTGCAAAAAGAGATGGAAAAACATGAAAGATACGTATAATAAAAATAAAAGGAGTAGGAAACTAGGGACGGGATCATTGACAAAAAATAAACAAAAAAAATGGGTCTTGGGAGATGCATTATCATTTCTGGACGTATGTTTTTACGAACGAACGTGAGTAATAATATATTAAATATATTAAATACATTTTACTTAAAAACAATTTCATTATACAGTTATATTAATAATAATTAGGGGTGCAAATATTACACTTATTTTTTTCTCACGGTTTTTATAAAATCTAAAAATACTTTACCAAAAAATAATTTTAATATTTTATAATTTGTACTAAATATTTATTATTAAATCGAAAATAATTAATGACACATAGCTAACTATTTTTTGTTATTTTATTATATTTTGAAGCGGTCTGACTAATTTTAATTCTACGAATGAAATAAATAATAGTAAAGAAGAAGATAGCTTAACAGTAACTGTTGACCATGAAAATAATTCTAGTAATTTANTATTATATTTTGAAGCGGTCTGACTAATTTTAATTCTACGAATGTTTTTTCAATTATGTTTGCAACAGAAACCACTACAGTTCATGAAACGGCACTTGAAAATAATTTTAATACTGAAAAAACAAAATTATCAAAAGAAAAAAGGCCTACTAAAAAATTAAATCAAAATAAAGAGTTAGTGTCGTTGTTGAAAAAAAGTAATGAGGAAAGGCAACAAATTTTAAATTTCATTAATAAAGTTGAGAAAGAAGAAGATCCCATTGATGCATTTTTCAAAACAATGGCAATAACAGTGAAATCGTTTCCTCAACATTTGAAAATAAAGGCAAAAAAAGAAGTGTTCAACATAATTACAAATTTGGAAATAGAAAATAGCAGTACTTCATCGACACAAAGTAGAAATATTCAATCAAGTAGCTCATTTTCATCTCCAAACTCAAGTTTACAATCATCGTCACACTCAGGATTTTCAATATATGATCGTCCAAGCCAAGCCAAGTCCAAGCTCTGGAATACGTTTTTCCAGAGATTACTGATCGTCAACCTGGAAGTTGGATTCAATCGTTTGGTGAACAAAATTGTGAACAAAAATACGACGATAGACAGTGCGAATAAGCAAAATATTATTTATTTATTATTTTATTAAGTAGGTATCTGATTTTATTTTATGGTTAATTATACAGTTAAAATTATTTTTATTAATTCTATTAAAAGATGAATTTTTTTTTTTAGATATCTTATCACAGCAATAATATTCGGGGCCCGAAAAAGTTATTATAAATTGTTTGTTTTATTATACCTTTACAATTTAAAAACTATGTTTGATTTTATCAAGTATGTTTATTTTTTATAATTTTTGTTATAATGTATTGGCATTTTTAAAAGTTCCTATGTTTTTTTATACTGCATTGTTTATTTTGTATTAAACGAGAAGTTAAACATAATTTATTATCAATGGAAATGTTTGTATACACATTATTAAAAAATTAATATTAAGTACATAGGTACTTACTATAAAATATAAATTATAATATAAACATAAAATGAAAAACCCACATCTATAAAATGATTGAATTTTTGATAAGTAAATACGTATTTACTTATCAAAAAGTTTAATATTTTTATAGATCTGGGTTTTTCATTTTATTAAAAATATCTATAGAAGTTCTCTATATAAAATTATACTGTAAACATATAAACAGTAAACATATTTTGTTACATTACTTTAGCGTGACTGCTAGCTTTTCAGCAGCAGTAATCGGTTTCCTAATTTTGATGCTAGGGTTGGTTCTTATGTCATCTTCAACTAGGTTCAATATATAATTAAATTGATCCCAGCTTAGTCTAAAAAATTCTCTAAATTTGGTTTCGTCTCGCCATAAATGTTTTTCAATAAGGACACTAAAAAATCCTTCAGTTTCCCTGGCTAAGTACATTTCATGCACTTCTTTTTTATTTCTTGTTAGAACGTATTTTACAATAGCTTGTTCTTCTTTTACTTGTTGTAAAAGAAGCAGTTTCAAAATAAAATTTTGTTTTTTAGTTAAGGACATATTATAGTGAGCCAAAAGTAACGTTTTAGTTGTGAATATATAATAAATAAAATTGGGTGTGTTGATTAATTAATTTGAATTTTTGAGCACTTTTAATAAATTTAATTATCTTACTTTCGGTTACTATAATTCAGTTTGTTTAATATTATCGGGGTCGTGGAGTCCGAANAGTTTGTTTAATATTATTGGGGTCGTGGAGTCCGAGGGTTTTAGAGAATGACAATACAATTTAATAAAAGGGTTATGATAAATATTGAGATTTAATGTGTGTATCAAATTTTATAAACTTTGGTGAATCATTTGAATAGTCTCACGTTTCAAAGAGGACGAGTTTATGTCGGCAACTATGAAACGTAATAAGAAAATGCGTAGGTACGATCTTTGGTCAAGCACTTCGAACGCATTTAATAATGCTTTTGACAAACCAGTCAATAAATTTAGTATGTGTATCAAACTTATAAAAATTGGTAAATCATTTGAATAGTCTCACGTTTCAAAGAGCACGAGCTTATGTCGGCAACTAAGAAGCGTAATAAAAAAATGCGTAGGTACGATCTTTGGTCAAGCACTTCGAACGCATTTAATAATTCTCATGAAAAACCAGTTAATAAATTTAGTATGTGTAAAGATAAATTAATTACTATTGTTTTGTCATTTTCTTCTCGGATTAAATAATTCCAAATTATTGGAATTAAAATGTATCAACTACTTTATAATGTTTTGTGGAATTGAAATGAATAAGACTGACAAGTTTTTCTTTCTGAATGTTTGAGAGACTGGTGGTCTATTGCTTCATTTGATTCTAGGCTTGAGAAGTGGAATGTCCCTATTTTATAGTTTTTTACGGCTTTTTATATGAAATCTATGATCTACATATCATATGNTTACGGCTTTTTATATGAAATCTATGATCTATATATGTCACCAAAATGTAAGAATTGACCACCAGGGCTCTCATCTTTATTGAAACGAAAATTATAAGCAGGGATAATATATTACATTGGTTATGGTACATTTGATTTTTCTTAGGGATACTGTTACTTAATAATTGTCTTTGTAGATTAATTTATAGTGTTTACATTTATGATACAGATATTAATCTTAAACTGAACAAGTGCATACATTGTATTAATTACATTAGTGATTATGCTATGATATCAATTTAAGATAATTATTTTGTTTTGTGATAAACATTGCGAATAATATTAAATTTGAGCGATGAACGATATCACAACAATATTTAAACTAATAATAATAATAAAATTTTATAACACACAAGTACAACTTAACTAAACAGAAGACTTGATACAAATGCGTGTACGTGCCTAATTATTTATGTATAATGTAATGTTGGCCTCGTGTCTCCTGACGCGTACATAGGAATCAATATTAGATCGCGCGGCCAAAATTAAAATCGTGCCGCGTCGGCCACGCGTTTCTAGACGCGTGCATAGGAATTACACCTTTAGAGTACTTAATAAATCTCTTAAATTATTACTAAAGTAATTCTAAAATTCTTAAAAAATTTTAGTTAGCCCAATTGAAATGCTTAAATAATATAAAATGGGCAACCTAATTACTTTTTTTTCTACCATACTAGTTATGTACTCGCTGACCTCCTTTCATTATTCCACTTTTATGTTTGGATTAATTTCAAAAATATGTTTTCTTCATATTTTTTAAATCTAGTTATTTCTCTTATAACCCTTAGTTATTCTGAATAATTTAAACTACAGCTAGCAACAAAAAATTACAGCTTTTAAAATCATGGTTTACAGATTAGTTAATACTCCATTTAATAAAATTAATTTTATTAAAGAAATTTAAATTACAATACTCCAAATTAATTAAATTAATAAACTAAACATTTTTTAGGCGTTTAGTACATCTTATGTAGTAAACAAAATTTACTTATGTTTACAACCTATGATGACAACTACAATAAAATATAATAGAAAGCTATCCTATTTTATTTTGATTTTATTATACTTTAATATTACATTTTTAGAAAAAACCAGGTAAGTCAATTAAAAACCGAGTAAAAACAGATAAGTCATCTTAAACGGGAAAAGAACTAGACATGTAAGGTTAACAATATATAGAACTTTTTAAAAATTATTTCTTATAACTGCTTAGCATTCAATCATGATAACTATAATTATTGTTGTAACATTTAAATGTATGTTATTTTACAACATTTATTTTTATTTAATCCGAATTTCAGTTGATTCAACTGGTTATTTTATAGTATGCCAAAACTTTTGACAGCTTCAACTAACCTAACTTTTTATTAGTTTTTTGGCTTAAAAATATATTTCTACAAAAAGAATTTTTTATCACCAAAATCTAAATTACAAAAGAAGTGATTCAAATGTTTTTTCTGTATAACCATCCTAATATACATGGTAATTTATTTATCGCTGACGACTTAATTTCTTTTAAAATAATAAAATTTTGAGAATTTTTTTTTAGCTTATTTTAGTAGTATTAAGTTCTTAATTTATAAGTATTAGTATTTATTTTTAGGTCTATCTCTTGTCCTTTATAAAGATACCCAGTTAATTAATTTTATTTAAATTGGAACACACATATTTAATTCGGTTTTTGTTAAATAGCGGTCTAAATATGAAAATGACTGATCAAAAACAACTTTCGGACCAGTATTTCGCATGTTCTTACATTTTTATACCTAGTCAAGCGAAGGAATGAGACTGAAAAATGTCTATTGGATAACATAGCCTGCAGCCTCACCACCAATCTATGTTCAAAAATATTAACTTTCGAAATATTTATTAGCTTCTTTAAAATAAATGATATTTTACAAGTTCGTATAGTAGTTTATGTATAAATAGCTAATAATTATCTATTAACATAAGTTTTTTAATTATTTAATTACTTTCCAAAGTTAGAGAAATAAAACTTTATGTAATTTTATAATAATAAATAAATTGTTCATTACGAACATAGTTTTTTAAAAATTTTATGTTTGACCAACTCTTAATTTAATATTTAACTGTCTTCAAATCATAAACATACTAAATCAAGTTGCCATGGATTATTTAATATAGATACACTAATGTTTATTTTCAAATACATATAAGTTTGTTGTTGAATTTTGGTCGAGATAAACTAGTTTTTTGTGCTTAAATACTATTACTGACAGTAACAATAAATTGTGAAAAAAGTATTTTGATACATTGACTTTTTTGCAAACAATCAAATTACAATGAAGTTAAAAAGATTCTTTCATCGGTTGACCAGTCTTCACGTGTTATCTCTCCAAAAAGGAGCGTAATATAAATGGTATAGTATCTTAGCTTAATCAGGTATTTTTTTAATGAAACTTAACTTAACACAATAGACAACAAAAATTCTCTCAATGTCTAGCGTTTTAACGCGTACAGAGAATGAATACACTCATTTATTTGAACATAAAATTAAATAATATAATATTAAATTTAGTGTAGATTTATATAATCAATATTAAAAAATTCATTAATCATTTTTTTTTAATTAACTATAATAAGACTAATAAGTGCTAGAGGATATATCCATGTTTACAGTTGAATTCTGACGTTTCCGACTCATTGCAGAGTCTATCTTTAAAGTGATGGTTGCTAGTCGGTGGCTGCAACTATACAGATAACAAGCAACAAGACAATCCATGAAAGTTTTAACACATTCAAGACTAATAATTGTTGAGATGATAAATATTATTGCAATTTAATGTGTTATTAATTAGAAGGCACGGAGTGTTACTTAAGTCCAGTTAGTAATCATGAAATGAAATCTGACAAATGAAGAACGAAGTTTCAGTAACTAAAATCATGACGGCGTTAGAAGATGTAAAAAAAGAAATAGTTAAAATTAATTAACTTCTGAATATTTCAATTGTAGAATCTTTTTAAAAACCAAAAGTTACTAGGTAATGATAACTATTATTCCTATTTAAGTTATTTATTGCGGTAAAAATGCAAACAAATATTGAGCTTTTCTGATAAATTTATTATAAATAGTTATTATAAAATTTCCTGACTGCACATTAATCTTAACAATACAATTTTTTCAATTCTCATAAAATTTCCTATTTAATGATGTCAATTTCAAACTTTCAAATTGAGCTAAAAATTATAGTAATAAATTAATTTTTTTTTATTATAAACTTTCACAAAAATTTTCCTTATTTTTTACATATTAATAATCAAAATCAGTACTAATTTACGTATATCAATTTTATTTTATTCTTAATTATTTTCTATATGTAAATACTTATTTTTTTAATAATATTATTAATATTAAAACTTAGAATTTATAGAAAAATTCTAATTGCACATTTGAAAACATCGGGAAAAGTATATTTTTGTTTCTGATGAAACTTCCTTGTAATCTAGTGTATAAAACTTATAACTTTGTAAGAAAAAAAAAGAGAAGACACAATAATAGTACTTTCGTTAATAAATTTTAATGTATTGATACGACAATTAACTATGCGAATAAAATAATATATTACTGATGCTCCGGGTCAGCACGGCGGAGGGTCAAACACACACAAATTCAATTATCAGTAGGCCTTTCGCTATCTTTACAATTATACAGAATACTACAACTTTGTTATAAACAAAAAAATTTTTTATTGAAAAGTATTGTATCAAGCCCTTTAAATTTTTATACGCGTTAAAAGTAAAGAAATATACACTACTTTATTATTTTTATAATATTTCCGTAAAAATTACAATATTATATTATTGAATATCAATTTCATACTAAATTTAATTACTATAATTATTATTTATTCATATATTATAATAATAAATCAAATAACTAATCGGTATAAAATTGTTATTTTTGAAATAATCTACCAATTTCTTAAAATTAAACACTATGAACAGATTTGCATCGAAGCGTTTTTTATGATAGTGATTTTAATCACTGTCAGATATCATCTCTACTTGTCCAACTATGCCACTTCCATACTGTGCCGCGACTCCACTGTGCTACCATTTTTTTAATATATTTCTGACTAGATATGACTATTTTTCAATAGTGTCTGGTGGGTGCTGGGGGTTGGGTTGGGTTAAAAAAGTATAAAAAAAAACCCAGCACAGTGGGGTCGCGGCGTAGTGGGGACGTTGCATAGTTGGGTCCAGTATAGATGATATCTGACAGTGATTAAAATCATTATCATAAAAAACGCTTCGATACAAATCTGTAGATAGTGTTTAATTAAAAAAAAAAATTTGTTAAAAAAGTAGGTCAAATGAGAGCTGAGAAAATAAACGATAGCTACAAAAAAAAA